CTGGAGCTTTGCGTGCCCGCGCAGATGGGGGAGAGGGTCCCTCGGGCGCCACGTTGGTACCGGCCGTGCGCGCCCTGGTCTGCGCTTCCCTGAAGTGCTGCTGAACTGAACTGTTGGCAAGAACGTCGATTCTTTGGCAGTGGTGTGCCTGACTTGGTCCGCCGAGAACAAATTCCAAAACCGCGACCTCTTGGCGACCAAGATCGCCGACCAACTCTGCAGAACTACCAGCCCCAACCCGCTCACTTGTGGGGCCCACCTCAAAACGTAAAGTCACCGCCTAAAGGAAGAGTGCTTATCCTGGTGGACGGAGGTCCGGATTGCCCTGGCCAATCGCCGTTGACTGGACGTCGAACAGACAATTCCCGACGGGCCAAACGGCAGAAGGCATCACGACGACCATCTTCCGCAGCGGCCGCATCTTGGCCCAAAGAGCCACGGGAACTGTCATCGGCGCCCACCACATGTAAGTGATCGTCGGCCAAACACCAGCTGGCAGGGCGCAAGCCTCCCCAATTACGATAACGGTTTTTAGCTGGCCGGACTTCGTGGGGCAACATCTCCAGGCCGGAAGCCGTCGCGACCGTCGAAATCTGGGCAAAATATGGGCCGGTACACATATCTACATCGACATCTACATCTACATTGGCATTTCCATTTGCATATACTTATACAAATACAGCTAGATCTGCACACAGGCATACCCATACACAGATGCATGTACACATACATATTCATAGACATATCCATATACATGTGCAAATACCAGCACATATCTGTATGTATGTACCTGTCGGTACGTATATTTGCATGCTTGTATGTATGCATGCATGTATGTATGCATGGATGCATCTCTGTTCGCCTCCCAATATCATACCTGTTGTTTGTGTTCGATAGTTTTCGTATTCGCTGTTATGTCTCCTGCTCCTGCCTGCTGCTGCTGCCGCTGATGTTCCTTCCTCGGAATATATGAAGCAGAAGAGGATGATGGGCACCAATTTAGTTCCAGTGAGGTCCTGGTACGGCCTCATTCGAAACAAAGGAACAATTTGTGCCAACACATTCCCGTGATATTTCAATCGGGTCCTGAAGCGGTATCACTGGGAACTGGAAACGATTCCAGATCCAAATGGTCCTTCTTGAGGTTCGATGAGCTTCACAGCGAACGTCCATATGATCGCATCATATCCCATACCCAAAGAATTTCTATAGGGAGTTTGAACATGCTATACGGGGCTTCAATAGATGCCATGTCCAGAGGGCCCCTACTGAATTTGGGTTGCCTTCTAAGCAACACTCAATGCAAACGATTCAGATCCCGTGCCCAAATTGTTCTATATATCGCTCGACGCGAGATTTATAGGATTTCAACAGGTCCGGAAGGCTCGGGCTGGATTTGTATAGGGTGCAACCGGATTTCATTACGAACTGAACCGATCCCATATCCTGAGAATTCCAAATGAATTTGGATGTGATTATGATAAGGCTTCAGCAGAAACAGGGCCAATCGCATACTTTAAGGAGTCCAGCTCGGGATGTGGCCCTCATCGGCTGTCAATGGAAACGGGGCAGACCCCATATCCAGAGAATTCCGATTGAATCTGCATGGGCTTCTAAACGAATTTAAATACAAACGGAGCAGACCCCATATCCAAAGGATTCTTGTATACATGCAAAAAGATGTTGTAGGATTTCAACAAATCTGGAAGGAAATGAGCAAGATGATCATCGGACTTCAATCGACACAGAACAGATCCCAAATAAAAGGGTTCATAGGGATTTTGACAAGAATTCCGATCGGACTCCAATCGGGAAAGAGCAGATCCCAGGTCCAAATCATGCCGTTCGAATTTTGATACGATGCTGATTGAATTTCCACTGGGAGAAACATAGGTCCAACATCCAGGGGGGGTCTGCGAGCACGAGAGCAGAAGCAAGCAGGAGCAAGGGCGAGCACAAGCAGGGACGACCAGAGACTGGCAATTGAAAAAAGCTATGATTTCATACTTTTCCAGCGTTTCCAATGTTGCCCAGAGACCGAACCATGTTGTGCTTTCCTGCTTTCCCAGCGACGGACCCGTGAACACCTGTGCGCTTCCAAACTGTTCCAGCGTTTCCCAGAGACTGGCCGTTGACAAACCATGTCTGTTTCCAAGTATTCTGGCTGTGCCAATTTTTCCCCAAGACTGGCCGTTGAACAATGCTGTGTCTTTCAATTTTTCCACTTTGTCTCAAAAACTGACCGTTGAACAACGATGTGCTACCCAGCTTTTTCCAGACACTAGCCTGCTGCGTAATCTCTGCAAACAAAAACAGAAAAGCTGGACAAGCTAGAAGACACAGCATTTTTCATCGGCCAGTCTCTTGACAAAATCTGGAAACGCTGGACATGTTTTGTCATCGGTCAGTCTTTGGAAAAAGCTGCAACAGCTGGAACACACAGCTTTTTTCATCGGATAATCTCTGGAAAATCGGGAAAAACTGGAACATCTGGAAACCACAATTTTTAATCGGTCAGTTTTTTTGCAAAAGCTGGGAAAATTGGAAAAGCTGGAAAACACAGCGTTTTCCTTCGGGTAGTCTCTGGGACAAGGTGCGAAAGCAAGCACAGCGCTTTTCACCGGCCAGCTGGAAAAACTGGAGAATACATCGAGGTCCAATGGCACGGAGAGAAAGAGAAAGAGAGAAAGAGAGAGATAGAGAGAGAGAGAGAGAGAGAGAGCGAGAGAGAGCGAGAGAGAGAGCGCAAGAGGGAGGAAGAAGACGAAGAAGAAGCAGCAGAAGAAGAGGAGGAACGAGTGGCAGAAAGAGCGACCTGTACGATACTGTAGCGGGGGGCGTCCACACAGACAGCTTCCGACGGCGTCAGCGTCAGACGGGCCAGGAGATCGAAGACGGCAAAAGACCCCAAGAACCCCCCAAAGGCCCCCAAGAGGTTGAGGGAGGCCCTCAAAACGCCTCCAAGAGGCCCCCAGCAAGATGCTAGGAGGCCCCACGGAGTGCCCCAAGAGTCTTCCAAGAGGCCTCCTCCTCCTCGTTGCCGTCCTCCTCCTCCTCCTGCTCCTGTCCTGATCCTCCCTCTCATCCTTCCCCAAATGTTCCCCGAGGAGCTTATACGGAGTCTGGTAGCTATCGCAGTGGTCTGACTAGCCATTACCCCCCTGTTTGGGCGATCCCGGAAGCCCACTGATCGTCCGAGAGCCCCGCGCCGCACTCCCACCGCCCAACAATCTGACAAACCTCGTTCCCTCTGCTCTGCGGCGCGCACAAGGGGGTGGAGGGAGGGGGGAGGGCCTCTTAGAAGGAGGCTGCTCCTCAGAAGCAGCGGGCCCTACGCTCACAGACCAGGCCCGAGCCTTCTAAGAAGCAGGGGTGCCTCTGAGAAGCCTCCCCCCCTCCCCCTACCCCCCTCTGCGCGTGGCCGATCTGCGGTGGCCCAGAGGAGGAGGAGGAGGAGGAGGAGGAGGAGGAGGAGGAGGAGGAGGAGGACGGCTCCGTGCACGGTGCCTCCGCTCACCCGGCGCTCCCCTGCCCCTCCGGCCCGCCATCGCTCGGGCGAGGCCATGCCCCGTGCCATTTCTTCTCGGTCTCGTGCGCGCGCGCGCGCGCGTCTGCCGCACGGTGGCCCGAAAGGCTCTTCGAGGGTCCTCGCCGAGAGAAATGCCTCCCCCTCCCCCTCCTCCTCCTCCTCCTCCTTCTCCTCCTCCTCCTCCTCCTCCTCCTCCTCCTCCTGCGAAATGCCCACGCCCGAGCGGTGCCGAGTCGGCCGCGAGCGCAAGCAGCACAGTGGGCGACGCCAACCCCGAAAGGCTCCTCGAGGGCCCTCGCCGAGAGAAAAGCCCACGCCTGAGCGGTGCCGAGTCGGCCGCGAGCGCAGGCAGCACAGTGGGCGACGCCAACCCCGAAAGGCTCCTCGAGGGCCCTCGCCGAGAGAAATGCCCACGTCCGAGCGGTGCCGAGTCGGCCGCGAGCGCAGGCAGCACAGTGGGCGACGCCAACCACGTGCTCTTTTCTGGACGGCCGTCTCCGCGGCTGCCGCGCCGCTTGCTGTGGGTCTCCCTCGGCGCCCCCCGCCCGTTCGTCTCCCCCCCCACCCCCACCCCCACCTCCACCTCCTCCTCCACCGTGCCCCCGCACTCCTCAACTCTGTGCCCCCTCCGAAGTCGAAGCCAAGGCGAGGACAACTAATCGGGTGAGGATAACATCGAGCATCTTTGAGATCCGGCAGATCTGAAGGACATTTCAGGCGTCGCGGCCTTTTCGTAGCGTTCCGGAACGCTCTGAGAGCGTTCTGGAACGCTCTGGAAAGGATTCTTCGGGGGCGTACAAGAGGGGGGCGTCCAAGAGGGGGGGGCGCAAATCGTGGCTGGCGGCATGTGCGCGGCCCAGGGGGGGGAGCAGGGACGTATTGAAACAAGAAGGGGCGCAGCGTCATCTGGGGAGGTATCATGGCCCCCGCCACGATATCCGAGACCCCAAGAAGCATCCCTGAGGACTCGGGCCCACGTCAGCGTCGTCGTCGTCGTCGTCGTCGTCGTCGTCGCCACCGCCACCGCCACCGCCACCGCCACCGCCACCGCCATCGCCATCGCCGCCGCCGCCTTCGTCGTCGACGTCCCCCTTCAGGGTCGGCGGCGCCAGTGGTAATACCTTCGCAATCTGGGAAGATATAATGGCCCCCGCCATGATTCCCCCCCCACTGGTCATCGCCCACCTCAGCGTTTTCTAGCAGCTGATGGCCCCCTACGGCCGGCGCCCGACGCGCCAAAGCCGACGCAGCGACGATGTTTGCCAAGACGACTCCCCCAGAGGCCCTCCAGGATGCTCCCTGGAGGGCCCTTGGGGGGGGCCCTCTGGAGGCACTCAAAGATACGTCCTCAGAAGGATTGCGGGCCCCAGAAGCCCTCCGGGTGCCTCTCCCCGATGGTTATCCTCGCCCCGGCCTCGTCAGACCTCGCCCCTCTCTCCAATGGAGCTCGGCGGGCCGGGGCGGAGCGGCATCACCGCACGGTCTTGAACTTGCCTCTCTCCGCCTGCCGCTGCTTCTTCTCCATCCTCTTCTTGTACGCCGGGTCGTTCTCCGACAGTTCCTCCGAGGGCACTTTCGCGGACAGGGGCGAGAAGAGGCGAGAGAGGATGGCCGGGGAGGGAGCGGAGGAGGTGGAGGAGACCGCGTCCCTCATTCTCCTCCGCAATCATCCTCATCTTCCTCCTCTCCCTCATCCTTCGCATCCGCTCCCACTCTCTCCACTCCGCGTCCTCGTCCTGATTGTTGTTCCCTTCCCCTGCCCGTCCCTCTTTCCCGCCCTCCCTGGTAGGAGGAGGACGACCAGCAAGAGGCGGGAAGTAATGGTCGCCGTGGGCGACTTGGCAGAATCACGGTACGTCCTGGCTCCGTGGGCAAGTCTGGTGAAGCGAGACCCTTCCCCCTCGCCCTGCGCGACTCACAACCAGGTGCGAGACAGAGGTCCAGATTCTGACTGGGCCCGCGTGGCCACTGTCAGAAGCACTCCTGGATTTGGGGCATCCTAGGGCTCACAGATGTCGTCGTGCAGCGTTGGAAAACGCTGATGGGTGCCTTCATTGGAGTGCTGGCGCCTTCCGTACACTGGGCAGCCATTGCGCAAATTCTGGGCGAAACCTAGGCAGGCCGGCCCACTGCGACCATGGGGCGATTTTGTGGGAAAGCGGCGTGTCCATTGATCAAACCCATCGCACACATACCGACGCTCTGCGCCTTCGTTCTACCACTGTGGTCGGCATCTTCGCAATGGTCGTCGTCAACCTAACCCCGCCGTCAACGTCTTCGTCTGGCTTCGCCGCAATTGCCGCCGTCCTCATCCCAAACGTCGCCGTCGTCCCTGCAAGCATTGCCGTCCCAATCGTCGCCTTCGTCTGCGCTGCCGTCTTCAGCGCTGTGTTCGTCGCTGCTGCGCTAAAGGGACCGTCGCGGGTCTTGGCTGCGCCACCGTCGATAATCAATGTCGCCGTCGATCTCGTCCCCATAATCTAGTTGGCAAACAAACCTACCTCGCTTTTGACCACCCTCGCTTCCAAGGGATACCAAGCGATGCCAAACTACGGCCTGTACTGGTCAGGCCGCTTGACGAGGAGGCGCGTGGTATGACTTGGTTTTGCCTGGAAGCGAAAGCGGGGTAGGTAATTCACGCTCTGATAATCGGCGTATCCTTCGTCGGTCTCCTCATCGCCGTCGCAATCGTCATTGCTAGCGTCGCCGTGCCGCGCCGCCGACGCCCTCGCCGTCGCCACCGTCACCACCGCTCTTCGCCACCGTCGCCACGCCGTCGCCGTCGGCGTCGTCGTTGCCGTCGCTGCCGTCGTCGTTGCCGTCACCGTCGTCGGCGTCGTTATCGACTCGGTTACTGCTGGCAGCATCGTTGACGTCGTTGTCGCCGTCATCGCCGTCGCCACCGAGGTCGTCGTCCTCGCCGTCGCCGTCATTGCCGCCGCTTTTCATAGCCGTCACCGTCGCCGCCGCCGCCGCCGCCACAGGAACGTCCAGCGCCGTCGCCCTGTCTGCCGTGGCCGTCGTCAGCACTGTCGCCCTGGCGGGCTTCGTCTCGCTGTCGCCGTCAATGCCATCTTCGTCGTCGTCGTCGTCGTCGTCGTCGTCGTCGTCGCTATCGCCATCGCCCTCGTCGGCGTCGTCCTGATCGCCGTCATTGCCATTGTAATCACCGTCGCCGCCGACGCTGTCACCATCGCCGGGATGGGAAAACTACGCCCTGCAGGTGGACAGTTGCAGGAACCGGGCCCAACATCGAACTGCAAACCTTCTCGCGGTGACCAGGGGTACCTCGATGCCGGCAGTCTATGTCGAAGGTCATCTTTTTCCAGAGGCTGCGGAGGGAGGAGGAGGAGGAGGAGGAGGAGGAGGAGGTGGAGGAGGAGGAGGAGGAGGAGGGCACCAGTGCATCCTGATCGGTACACCTTGCGGACAGCAGCTTCGCGAGCACGGGGCGGCTTGTTGACGGTGCCTGGCCTCCCTGGCAGAGTTCGCGAGTACTGCCACGCACACAGTCGCCCGCCGGCGGTTGGCAAAGGCCACCATCAGGAGTGGTCATTCTGACATTTTCGGCTCACTTGCTCCGAAAACTGCAGGAACCACCGAGCACTTTGTAGAGTCCAGTCTCAATTTGGAACTCCCGCGCGTCCCCCGCGCCTCTTGTGCACCTTGTGGAGTCGAGCCAGGAGCTGATGGGCGAGGAGTCCGCTCGAAGCCGACGTCTTTTTGTCAATGATCCTCCGATCGGGACACATCCACCGCGCACGGCGTCCGAACATTCCACGTGGCCGTGAATTTTGTCGGGACGGCGAATGACCACGCTGCACTCTCCAATCACGGGCTCAGAAGCAAGCACGGATGCTCTTTGAGCGTACCCAGCGCTCCCAACACTCGTCAACTCTTTCCCGACGCCCTCAGCGCACCAGCACTCGGCGTGCCAGACGAAGGAGAAGGGTACGCTAATCAAAACGATTCGGTATTGCGCGCGGTATTGCCGCGCTACGCTGTTTTCAACTACTCCAAAAATGTCTGGACTGGCTCCCGAACTCCTACTGGACCTTCGCGCCCTCGTTTTCGATGATGGCGCTGGTCTGGCTGGGACCCCCCCCTTGTAACTTCAGCCTGCCCAGTTTGGGCGAGAACTCGTTCTGGGCGCCCGCAGGCAGCGGCGTGCACCGAATCGTTCTGCATCGTAACACTTTCGTGAGACTGCGTGGCCCTTAGGACGCCAAGGCAGAATCCGAAGACGAACACCCAACGGGAACCTGCGCATGTAATACTCGTTGTCGTCGCGCGGGTCGCGCAACAGCATCACGCCCTGGTTGGCAGCCTGCTGGAAAATCTTGGCCGAGACGACGCCTTGAGATGCAACGCCTGGACTTCCAGCACCTCTTTGGAACTCTGCCGTGGCGTCGTTCCAGAGCTTTGGCTGCTTCCACCCGTGGGGTCAGGCGGTGGGCTCCGCGGTGAACGAACGGCCCCTTTGGTGCGCACGTGGGGCTGAGAGCGCTGTACAAGAAAACCCTTACAATACGGGCCTGACCATAAGAAACTTCCACAAGAAACCAAACCCTGAGACCCCAGGACGTCCATTGATTTTTGGTGTGGGAACGTCACGTTTTCCAGAGCAAAACCATCGAAACCCAAGAAACCCAGGGCACCATGGAGGCGAGCAGGGTGTTTCTTGGCATGGGTCTCCACTGTAATACAGCTGGAGCTGCCTTCTGGTCTCGTTCGCCAGCCTATTCTCCAAGCTGCACCTCTCCATTATGTCAAACACCTCCTTCATGGTGTCCAGCATGCCGATTCGTCCATAGGCCTCCTCGCAGGTCGGCCTTGCTGTTCCAATGGGGCCAGCGGGTCCTCTGAGCGGCGGTCATCTGATGGCTGCGCTGGCGCTCCGGCTGAGCAGGCCCACGATCCTCGCCGAAGTCACGCTTTCCCTGCTTGAGCATGGATGCCAAATTGACGGACTGGGATGAGGCATGGCAGCGAGCTTTGGTGCGCGCGCGCAACGCGAACTCAAATGAATCGTCGCCTTTTGCGGGCGCGAGGCAGGGAGGAGGGGGGTCCGGCCTGACTCCCCCCCACTCACGAGGGGTCATGGGGGCAGGCTAATTTCTAACCTCCCACCCCCTGCCTGGGGCGAGGGCTGCCGAACCTCCCTTCTCCCCTGCAACCGGGGAGTGGGGGGACGGGAAGGGTTATCCCCTCCCCCCCGCAGTAAAAACGAGAAACGCTTTTACCAACCTGTCGATGGGGCCTCGTGAGCTGTGCCAGAAGCTGCAGCTGTCAGCCGCCCGTGATCTCTGACCGAGCACCCTCGTCGCCGCCCAAGGTCCACGCGCAACAGCTTGAGCCCAGGTGTCCACATCTGGCAGGCGGGGAACGACGAGAAGATAACAACAACATCAAGCCGATAGCATTCGGACTAGGTTTTTTGTTTTTTGTTCTTCCTTTCGGCGGGTTCACCCAGAACCAACCAGAAAGCGTGCAGAGGTCAAGGCTGATATGGAAGAAGAGAACATATATTCCTAAGGAGGATAAGGAGAGCAGGAGGATCAACATCAAGAAGACCCCCCCCCTTCTCCATATCTCCGCCATTCCCTTTCCCGGCCCTCAGCCCTACCCCAATCCGCATCCCCATCCCCACCCCGCCCATTCCTTTGAATTCCTTCTCTCCCCATCCTTCTCCGTTCTTCCCCCCCTTCCTTGCTCAGTCCCTCCCTCCCACTTCACACACTTTCCTGCCCTACGGTTCGTACATCCGCAGTCCTCCTCGGTGGGTGTGAAGACGTAATCGAGCAGGAGCCTAACCAGTTTGTAAACTCCATAACCGGGCACGATCAGATACAACAGCCAGCCGTAGTCGCTGAATGTCACCAGAAACTGCGTTGACAGATTTATGGCAAACAGGTCCAAATACATCTCGTAATCGAGACCCAACTCCAAGGTTCCTTTGATTCCGTTGTATGTGACGTACGACACGGCGCTGAAGAGGAGGCAACCTATCAAGTTCCACTTGCCCATGGAGCTCCAGTGTAGACATACCTTCCACACAAAATAAAGTATGTTGACGAAACCAATGCCGTACACGTAGTACTGTTTCGTATCAACTGCACGCTTGGCCTGCTTCTTCTCGGCATGTCCTGCCATAGCTCCCCAGTTGCCAAACCAAGGTCAGCCTGGAGCCGTGCAGGGGCCAGGCCGCTCCACCGCCCCCCTACTGGACCAAAGTGGCTTTGGGCGAACATGAGGTTGAGAGCCGTAATCACATGTGCTGCGCTCTCGAGGCATCCTTCCTCCTCCTCCTCCTCCTCCTCCTCCTCCTCCTCCTCCTCTTTCCCTCCCTCCCTCCTCCCTCCCTCCTCCCTCCTCCCTCCTCCCTCCTCCCTCCTCCCTCGTCCCTCCTCCTCCTCCCTCCACAATCACACAATATGAAAATACTCTCCCACTTCCCCTGATGGCGTCCCGAAGATATCCGACCCCCCCGCGTACTGTTTTTTTACAAACAAGATTCCCGGGAAACGGGTTTTCGCCTGCGTTTTTTCAAAATGCTGCTCTCGCTGAGGCGCCGGCCTCATTTCTGCTCCCGAATCGTTCCGAATCGTGCTCCCGCTGCAGCGTGGGCCTCATTTTCGGATCGGTGTTTGGCCTCCGTCGTTCAGGATGGCGTTCTCGCCCCAGCGCGGGCCTCTTTCTCGCGCGCCCATCCGCCCGCCACCACCGCGCCGCACCACCACCACCACCACCACCACCACCACCACCACCACCACCACCACCACCACCAGCACCCACCCACCCACCAGCACCAGCACCAGCACCAGCACCAGCACCAGCACCAGCACCAGCACCAGCACCAGCACCAGCACCAGCACCACACACAACCACGCACACACGCACGCACGCACGCACGCGCACCACCACCCACTACGCACGCGCGCGCGGAGCCACAGGTCCGCTACGACACGCGTCCGCGGATAGAGAAAATCAGCGCCATGGTAAGGGATGGGAGGGAGGGGTAGGACGTCAGATATGACGCGAGCGCACCTAGCTTGTCCCCCCCCTCCTCCTCCTCCTCCCTCCTTCCTCCTCCTCCTCCTCCTCCTCCTCCTCCTCCTTCCTCTTCCTCCTCCTTCCTCCTCCTTCCTCCTCCTCCTCCTTCTTCTCCTAGCGCATGGGATCGATGAAATCGTTGACATCACCCCCATATCATTAGGTGGTGACTGATGCACTCATTGTCAAACACCGATCACCACATACTGCGTGGACGGCCACTGCCGCCTTACATGGATCATCACCGCAACGACATTTACATTTCAATGAGAAGTGACGAAATTACTAGTCGGCTCGTCGCCATGATACCGTGAGCAACATGAGTGCCAATGCTGTAGGGCGATAGAGACGCTACTAAGCGGCCGTGCGTGGTGCCTTCTCGAGTGAGACTTCCTCACCCTTCCGCGCTTGCTGGCAACTCTAAGACTCAACCAGCCTTACCACATGTGATTTCCGACCACGTGCGTTAGGCTGAGAGGCGCATTGGTTCTTGTGCGGGAGATGTATTCCTGATGTTGCTCTCATGGGGATTCCGAAGTGTAATGAATTCAACGTTTCGCATGAATGGTCCTCATGATATCACGCTATACCTCACGTGATTATGTTTGCAGACGGGCCACTTCGCGTGGACACTCCGCGCAACAGATATAGAGCCAACTTGCGCCCTGCTGCGCATGAGATGTGTCAGCCACAGTTGTTGTGATCATCTCATGTTTGCCAATTGGATGCAACACGCATGGCCGACATACTTACCAACGGTGGCTCAATTATTACCCCTGCTAGAATGGAGGAACATCCTGATAGTGATGTTCACGAAGATGATCCCATACTCTGCAGTATCCTGCTCCCTTCTGCAGTACTCAACGCTGCATTCGCTCGACTCTGCTCTTCTCTATTTACCTCACCCAATTTTACTCGATCCTGCTACACCTTGATCAGATGGGGACCTTAATGCGTATTTTTCTTCTGATCAAATCCATTTGAATGAGTATCCCCCTTCCAGAGGAGCTGCTCATCGTTTGCGGGTTCCTTGTGGTCGGTCTTGCCTTTTCGCACTGAAGCACCCTGGCGAGCAATAAGTGCACTGTACGTGGGGCCTTGCAACACACCATGTTACGTGTCAAAAAACCTAGAGCCGTTGGATGCTGATCCGGCGAGCAAGCAGGTGCGTGACTGAACGAACTGACAAGCCAATGGCAACATATCAGCTTCCGCCTCACTGCTGTGGCTATCATCAGGCCATAGCGCAATCCTCCTCATCCTGTTGCCCTTTCGCAGCCATGGTGACCTCTAACAGCTTGTCAATACTTCCCAACTGTGCAATCCAACCCGACACAACGCTGCCTGTGCACGTTGCAACGATGGGCACGGCTTCCGAATCCGTTACGGAAGTTTGGAAAGAACTGATCCTGGGTCTTCCAGGCGGCGCGCCCGGGGGGGAAGTGAGAAGGGGCGGGCCTTCTCAGAGGGCTCGGAAGTCCCCCGGCCTTCCGATAAGTTTTTTAAGCCTTCCCCGAAGACACAAAACTCTTCTCAGAAGGCGCGAGGACTTCTGAGAAGTCCCGCCGCCTTCTGACAAGGTCTTCTCCTTCTCCCCCCTTGCTCGCCGCCGACCTTCAGCTAGACCCATGGAGCCAGATGACCCAGCGATTACTGCACCACTCGCCAACGCTCACCAGCAAAGAAATTGCTCCTCGACTCGTCTGCGATTGACTATGCAATGCTGCGGCCTGATCCCGTTCCATGCTGGCTCTTGGCGCCCTGGCGTTGCGTGTAATGCAACGAAGTGCTGTCTGCTCTTTGCTGGAAATCATAGACGTACAACCTACTCCCCGTGCGCTCTTTTTCGCAAGCGTCGCCTCAGGCGCACAAGCCTACGAACATTCGGCATAGAGGTTGACCCCTGTACTGCCGTAGAGGTGGCTCCTGTTCTGCCAGCCGCACACACATATAAACTTCTGGATCGGCACTTCTGGGCGACCGTGCATTGAGACAAATCATGGCGGGATTATGATAGTGACCTGATAGGCATATGATGGAACACAATTTGGCAGAAGACGGGGATGTATCATGGACAGCGCAGGGAAGACACGTGCAGGCACTGGGCGGACATGCTAGCATTCGAAAACGGCTGTGAATGTGCAGGGCTTTCCTGTTTCACTGCGCGTGCTGGAGTGCCCTTGGGCCCTCGGTATACCTCAGGATAGGTGGGGTTACGGGCTCCCCGCGTCTGGGGGGCTCTCGTAACCTCTCGGGGCCTCTCTCGGAGACGACCTCAAGCACGCCCCCAACATTACAGTTTGCACCTCCAACGGGCACCAGGGCGCCACTCAAGGTTGGCCCCGAGGCCGTCAGGCCAGCCGAGCGCAGGATTGCCTCGAAGGGCGTCCGTGGCAACCCAAGAGAGCCTCCACATCAAACTGGAGACTGCCACCTCTAGGTCGGCGCATGTCCTCCTGAAGGCGAATTTTGGAAGACGACTAGCAAATAGCCAGACAAGTGTCAAACATAGTCAAAAGAGCAAGGCAGATCGCCGCCAGACTATTTGATATGTTTTACGGTCCTCGAGTAATCCTCCTGTAGAAGGACACGCACGACTTTAACCCCACCCCGACATCTCCTCAACTGTTCCCGCAACAATTGAGGAAACACACGACGCACTGGGCATCCAAACTGTGGCCCAACGTGACGAGAGAAGATGGAACACCGTTCGGCTCTTGAAGTAGGAAGGCGCCTAAAGCAGACTAGGATTTGGGCATCCAGAGATACCTACATTCAACGACCGGCGTGTGGGGGCGGCGGCGACTCGCCAGAGGCGTCGTCAATACGCGATGGGCAGAGCACTGCAGTGTTCGGTAGCATATGCTGTGCTACTGGGGCCATGAGCTATCTGGTGTGCGATCTGGTGTGTCAGGGCCTCTCCCCACGTCCGCGCTCATCCTTCTGCTACTGGTACCTGCCTGCCTGCCTCGCAATGGCTGTCACTTGCAGCCAATCGGGAATGCGACGGCGGTAATGATACAAACGTTCAAGCAACGTTTCGAAGGAAGAGGCAAGGCTGGTGGAATCTGGCAAACAACTACCTTTTAGTACCCGGCCCGTGCAAGGCATGGGTGGCACTTCGACGAATGCGGGGGCGAGAGGGCCGCAACGAAACATACTTACACTTATGATCGTTGCCCCTCCACTGCGTTGCAACTTCCTGGAACCCACGAAGCTCGCGCACCGTGAAACAATGCCACATGGCAATTTAGTCCTAAGGCGCATCAATGTGGTCAACCTCAGGAAACGGACTCACAAACTTCTCGTTCGCCTCCGCATCCCTGACTTCTGTGCTGCCAGTCGCCGATACTCTGTCCAACGGCCCAGCGAAACCCGCTGAGAAGCCCTAACCCTGCCTCAGAGGGCCCGAGCTTCGCGAGCGAGCGGGGGAGGGAGGAGGGGGAAAGGAAAGGGGGTACTGCTGCGGAGGGTCCGTGGAGTGCAAGGGAGCCGCTGAACCCCCAGGGAAGGCTCGTGTTGGGTCGGGCATGTCCTCCTACAGGTGGGTTTTGGAAGCAGCACACAAATCCTGGCGCTTGCACTCGCCTCGCACGGCCCTGGGGGGGGGGGGAGGAGGAAGCCTCCCCCAGGAGCGGAGGGTGCGGACCCGACCCATCTGCCCCGCAGCGCGCGGCCTCTCCGAGGCCAAGCGGGCAGACGCCGGTCGGGCCCGTGGGGGAGCACCACCCCCCCCCCACACCCCCAGGGCGGGTAGGGCGGGCCAACGACAGCACGTGGTCACTATGGACCAGAAGAGAGGGCCCCATTGGGCACGTGAACGCAGCAGGCCGCTATGGGCCGCAACGAAGCCACTATGGGCCGCAAGGAAGCCACTATGGGCCGAGCGAAGCCCCCAGAGGGCGGAGGGCCGAAACCCGACACACGGCACGGTATTTATATCCCGCCCCAGTGCCAGGCGGAGGAAGCACGGCACGGCACTGCACCACACGACGCGAGCGGGAGGCGGAAGAGGGTCGACCAGCGCGCGGCCGACCAGCCGAGCGAGGGCGCCCCCGCGGCCAGCCGCGGGGTCGTTCACAGCGCGGGCGGATTTGTGC